CCCCCCCCCCCCCCCCCCTCCCAATGTTATAGAGATGAGAAGATGTGGAGGTAATCTGTAGTCCTAACACACTTCCTGTTTTACAGTGACAACGCTGCTCCTCCATAGATAAAATGCTGAGGGTGAGCGTTGTCAGCACCAAGGCAGGAAACGTGTTACTGGCGGGATCACCTCACCGTGCTCTGTGGCTTCATTATATACATAGGGATGGTGTGTGCTTGTCATGACTTACATTGAGCTGGAGTTCGTCCGTCCACTGTCCGATGAGCCGATAGCCCGGAGTGCTTTGGTTCCCCGTCTGGTACTGGAAAATGTCATACCGTCCCAGAGCATCACCATTCTTATTAAAGAGAACCGGGGTACCGGCGCTACCTGTAGAGAGAAGAGCACAGAGCATTGAAGCAGAACTCCAACCCCAAAATAACAAGATACATATGAGCAGCCTATTAAACAATAAGAAAAAAGCAAGCTTTAACTGTAATATGCAGCTCTCGTACAAAGATGTGTCCCCTGCAGTACCTGTTTTCTGCCACTAGATGTCCTCAGTCTGATGGCTAGCACCATTCAAACCACTTCCTCTGAGCCTAGGTCATCCTGGAACCCACCACCCCAGTGCCATTTGGGTTTGGAAGCCTCAGCTCCAATACGGCTCCTAGACCCGCATTGCTTTTTCGGAGCTCCTGAATGCAATTCGGAAATTCGGATCCCGAATGCCATTGGGGTCTGGGATATTCAGCTTTAGTATTACCGGTAATATCTGTATCTGGTTTTCGCGAACTAATATTTGTTCGTAAACTCATCCGAAACTAACGAAAACCCCAAATCAAATTGAATTTCGGACCCGAATCCCGAAATAACGAAAAAATCCGAACTGAACTGAAATTTTCTGCAGCTTACATGTCTACCTTGCAGTGCAGAGGTGGCCCCATTGCAATTATATGTTTTTGAAGTACCCGGAGCTCTTCTTTACAGCTACAAGCATAGAACATAAGCATCCCCGTGCCTCACTTACTGTCCCAGGGTGACCTATCCAAAGTTATTTTATATTAACTGTGCACCAATTTGAAACATGGCAAGTGGCATCTCACATACTCCTATCCAGTGGTCTAACAATCACCATAGCGACCAAGGTGACCGCTATGGGGCCCAGGACACAGGGGGGCCTGGCCAGGACATCCCCCTGATACTGTGCGGGCGGTCTGTGTCGCTATGGCATATCAGGGTGCTGGCTGTCACTGGCGGGTGTGAGAAGGAACGCGCCGCTGTCCAGATCACTGACAACCTGTCAGTGATCTGTGCAGTGGCGCGTTCCTCCTCACAGCCGCTGCTGAGTCAGTAACAGCCAGCAGCGGGGGAGCCTGGGTCTGGCAACGGAAGAGGAGGCGGGGCCCGGCAACGGAAGAGGAGGCTGGGCCTGCCAGCGACCATGGAGGAGGAGAAGGCGGACAGCGGATCGGGGCTGACAGGTAAGAGGTGTGCAGGGGTGTGACCAGCCCACTTGAGACCCTGCAGAGCCCACCATAGACAGTCTATGGTGGGCTCTGCAGGGTCACTCTCAGGTGGGCTGTTTGGGATCTCTCTGCAAGGGGCGTAACTAGAAATCACAGGGCCCCATACAAAATTTTGCTATGGGGCCCTGTGATTTCTAGTTACGTCCCAGATCTTATGCTAGCAGTGTCCCTTTAGCTCCACTCGCCAGGCAAATGAAAGCAGATCTTAGGTGTCTCTAGCGCACCAACAAAGCCCCTCCGCCTTAAATTCGCAGTCCTCCTTCCCATTAGCGGGAAAGGAACTTCTAACGCGACATTATTACCTCTAATGAAAACTACTCAGAGCATCTGAAATCCAAATTATTGCAGCAAATAGCGTGTTATCAGAAGGGAACATTAACAGCAAATTCTTCCCCGAGCCCAAGAAGACAAAGAAGACATCTCTGTTCGCAAAGAATCTGGATATTATGACCGAGAATTTGCGGTAATGGGAAGCGGTCCAAGAG